TATCTTTATAAAAAAATTATATTATTAAACCAAATATAAATTACTTCGTTATTGTACAAAAATTAAATTATAAAAAAATTGAATTAAAAAATTACACAAAAAAATGAGGAATAAATAGTTAATTTGATACTAATATCRATATATTTTTGTCAAATTTTTATGATATCTTCAAACATATATTTTATTCAACAATAAAAACATCATCGCTTTCTCAAAATCACATAAAACCATGTTATAACATCGACTGAGATAAATAATAAAATGAAATATTAAAATCACGATGTATCTCGCTGCATTGCGCGAGTACGCTTCTAGTATTTCGAAATAGAACAAGATATGATTTGTATATGTAAAAGTCTTATAACTATCTGTATTGATCCAAGAACGAAATGCCTTCAACAAAATCGAAAACTAGTTAAAGTGGGGTGAAGATCGTCACCAAAAGAAAATCAATACAAGATAAAGTCAAATAGTAGTCTAACAAATACTACAAGCCAGATTTTGGAGTGCAAACTTGTCCAGCAAGTTTGGCTCACTAACTCTTCCAACACTCATCTTGGTATGGAACATGCACAACATGTTAATCAAAGTAAGTTCTTTACACTATTTTATTAACTTCATACTTCAATTACTACTTCCTCGGCATACAAAAGGATGAGATAGGATAAGAAACGTCTACATCAACCACAAAGACTTAAATGAAGAGTACAAGCATGCATGAATTAGCAAATCAGATGAAGGCACGCGTTAAAGTTGGACAGTAGCATTTAATGGAATGGTGGTTATAAAAGATCACCCTTGTCATTCACTAATACTCACTCCTTTTTTTAACAACCTCTATGTGATAGTTTCTTCTTAGGCAAAATCGGCCTCAACATCTGAAGAACTATCTTAGTCCTTTATATCTAAAAAAGTACCTTCTTATCCCACTTTTTCAATGTTAGCAAATTTGTCATTAGTCAGATTGTTTAGGATCACAGGTCTTACTTTCCTAGCTTCTATAACAACATCTATAATTTTTTGTTCTAATACAAAATATAGATTAAAAAATAAAAATATGTTATGTTTGTATTCAACCTCTCTCTACAAACACATTCTATGTAAGTCATTACTTACTAGGACCAACAAAAGAATATATTCTTTTACCCAATGGAATCAAATGTTATGTTTCATAAAATGAAACATTTAGAATGTATTTTTCATGTATCAACACAATTTGTTGTTGATATTTATAAATTACTGGATTGACCTTTTATATTAAAAATGACCCATTAGTCACAAGTGGATGGATATTTTAATTACCGTTGAAATTGGTCCTCAAATGATTCTCAATCTTTTTATTGCTTTCATTTGATTGCCGTCCTATATATATTTCGAACGAGAAGGTAGTCAATTTGCAAGAAAGCGAGAAGTTCCAAAATCATATATGATAACACGTGATACTCACACTTAATCATATATGATTAAACAAAAGTTGAGTTGACCGTCACATAGTGGACAACCTTTGGTCGCCTTTGCCAAATCGCATGCATCCCTTTTGGATGTGTTTAATCATATATGATTAAGTATTCATATCACATGAATCATATATGATCTTGAAACTTCTCGCCTTCTCACAAATTGATCAACTTCTCGTTTGATCCTCCCTCCCCCTCGCTCTTTATATATATGCTAACTAAATTGGGGTAAAGTGAGAAAGATTATAGTTCTTTCACCTCTCCTAACTAAACACTTACCTTGGTAAGCGCTTACTGGTTCATTTATTTGCTGGATGAACACAACAAGGACCGTGAATCTTACACAGTAAGAGGGAAGACAATGATCAAGAGTCTTACCAGACAAGTGAGAGTGATGACTCTTATCCGATAAGCGTTTACTAACTTATAAAATCTTACCATCAATCCAGTTTGATAGTCAAGAATGTTACCCTATAAGTTAAATGAGAGTGGTCTCTAGCCGATACACACTTAGGGGCCGTTTACCCAATTACTTACCTGGTAAGCGCTTACCGATAGGAGTAACACTATGATTTATTTTGATGTGTAGGATTTTAGTATATTAAAACATATCGAATGCAACAATTTGGTGGGTAAGAGGCGTCATCCTCACTTACCGTGTAAGACTCTCATCATTCTCATCGCTCTTACCCGGTAAGATTCTTGACCCTTCTCATGTTCATTCGATGAGGAAATTTATCCGGTAAGTACTTACCAAGTAAATGTTTAGTAAACGGCTCCTTACCCTATAAGCTTTTGATAAACGGTCCCTAAGCATGTATTAGGATTGCACATAAAAGTATATTAACGTTCTATTTTAACCTAATACAAATTTCAATAGTGATTTCGAAACATGAAAGGAATGTAGACAAGCAAAGAAAAGAAAGAGAAACCAAAAGCAAAGTTGTTGGTACAAGGATGCAAAATAATAAGACAATTGACTGACGAACATAAAAACTTTGTTGCGTATATAGATTTGGGTGCATTACTGGAAATGAGAACGGACGGTATACCTTCAAAGATTAAGCTTGTTTGTTGTCTACGTTCTAGACTCTAGATTACCGGTTTTCTTGATTGATGAATATGCATGTTATAGTAGGAATTTTTCAAAATGGATTTCACCTCTTATCCATTTCTCTCTCAAAACAATGAAAATAGCTATAGGTCCACAATTGATAAATCCAAATTTACATATTTGGTCCCTGTAATTTTAGACCTGATTCAAAAACTTCTTTTTTTTTCTTACACTTTGACCCCTCCATAAATTACAAATCTGTCAGCTGCGGACCTATGACTTTTCGTTATTTTAGTAGATAAATGGCTAAGAAGTGAAACCATATGGTCAAAACGGCTATGTTAATTAATTTCCCTTTATAGTATTAGTATAAATAAATTTAAAAAATGGGGACAAAATGCTTTATAATATATTTATAAGTATAAAAATTGGGCATCCACAAGTATTTATTCAATTCAAGCGTATCCAAAGAGAATAATCAATTTAAACAAATACAATCAAGAAGCAATTACACTTGAAGAATAACATCTTCTTCACCAGCCATCAGCAATCAGCAATCAGCAATCAGCAATCAGCAATCAGCAATCAGCAATCAGCAATCAGCTTAATTGAAGTACAAAAATGGTACAAAAAGAAGACTCATCTGTGAAAGAAGATGGCGGTTTCAGGGAAGGCATTAACAAAGCTCGTAACGAGTTCTTGTGGCAACTCCGGTCCTTGCAAAAGTATTTGGTGATTCTTTTCTATCAATGACTGCAGAATGCTTAGGGGATCAACTTCTTCCAACTCTCCTGCACATATATTTCATTTCATCATATTAAACCGTAAATCTATTCACCCCAATCATCTTTATTTGATTTGTTCACCAAACCAGTTCCCACTTCTAGAAACTGCAACTGTTGATTGGATTTGGATTTCTACACAAGTACTATTTAACAAAATGCTGAGCAAGCAGGGTGGTGCGCAGGGAAGTTATACTGAGAAGCGTGAGAAGAGATCTCCATCCTTGGATCAATCCTAATTGAATGTCAACTCTAATGAGGTGCACCGAGATGCATCATATCAATTCCCTTCTAAAGTGTGATTCATGGATGGGCATGAGATTAAAAGTGATCAAGGATTCAGATCTCTTCTTACGCTTCTCACCATAACTTTCCTTCTCACACGATCATTCGCCTATATATATATAGAGGAAGGATCATTTGAGAAGTTGAACATTTTGCGAGAAGGCGAGAGAAGTTTCAATATCATATATGATTACACTCCTTCGGGTGTGTTTTAATCATGTATGATTAAGCGTCTATGTGTTGTCAATGCGACATGTGTTCAATCATATATGATTATGCTTGTGTATCATGCATGTAATCATATATGATATTGAAATTTCTCTTGCCTTCTCGCAAAATGTTCAACTTCTCGGATGATCCTTCCTCTATATATATATATATATATATGTGTGTGTATATATATATAGAGAGAGAGAGAGATGGGTTCAAACGAGATAAGTTATTTACAGTGGAGCTATTCAGCATTTAAGGTGGTTCGGGTATATATATATATATATAGTTGAAATAGTTACCCAATTCTATTTCTTGCTCTTCATCTTCCTCGGCTGCTTCTTCCACACCAGTCCCATTTTCCAACTCAACGGCTGCTTGTGCACACCTCTCCAAAAATTCTTCTTCCGTTTCTTCATGTACATCATCCTCCGAATCCTAATAAGAAAAATGAATGAAATAAATAAGAAATTCACATACAGTTTGGTAATGTTACATTCCCTTTTTTAACCCAAATTCCTAAAACAATAAGAAGTTAGTTTTTGCCATTGGCGATGACTGTCCAACAATTATCAGACTTGAAGCCAATATAAACTAGATCTGAAAAGAAAGTTATACAAGAAGTCGGACCTCATCATCTGTGTCTTCACTCTCATCATCACTTGTATTCTCATCTTCATTTTCATCAACATCTTCTTCCTCCTCTTGAACTTCTTTCAACCGCACAGATGCTTCAATCACTGCAGCAAAGCACTGCCATAACAAGCCACTACTCTGATTCCCCATTAGCAGCCGGGTCATCAACTTCACTAATGTCATTACTGGAAGATAGTCATACTGTTGATTAGTTTACTTTACTATTAACAATAAGTGAAAACACATAGACATAGAGGTAGACTGCGTTTTAGGTTCAGGGCCTCAAAATACTTGAACAGAATTGTTGACCAACATAAATTAACCACCTTAACGCTATCAAGATACAGTAACAACAAAGTACATTATGAGAAATAGTAGCAGAAAGGTGACTACTCAGAAAAAAAAAAAACATGGGAGTGCATAAAAAGATAGACAAAACTGCACATATAATTAAGAGAAAATAAAATCACAAATATTTACCAGTCAACTTAATTTCAGACTCCGTTGATGGTCCATGTTCAAACTTGCTTGAAGAGATGGAGAAAAGAGCCAAGGCCCAGACTCTGAAACCTTCATGTTGATCCTTCTCCAAAGCATTCTCAACAATATCGGGATAGCATATATAGCATGAAGATATGGCAAGCAACAATGGTTTCCAAAGAGGAGAAGGTTTTGATTGCTTTTGTCTGAAACAAGAAAATGCAGACTGGCAGAATGTTGTGGTCATTGCATGCATTATATGTTGTTCTTCAGTTGAATAAGTCGAAAGATGCACAAGTATATGAACAGAAGAGGAGGCTCTATAAATCGCAGATGGATATTGTAAGAAGGCATCGCTGACAAAGCCACAAATTCCTTCAATGATAGAATGTTGACGTACGGGTAGGGAATGAGGCGAGGGAATTGATCCGACAATAAAGTTCATCAAAGAAACTCTCTTGTGCAGACATGCAGCTTCTTTGATGCAATTGAAGATTGGTGAATCCTCCTCTTCCTCCCAAGAATGACAGTTTGAAATCAGATCAGCCCAAACTAGCAACACCTCAGAGACTTTTTGCTTCTGAAGCATGTCACTTCCATTAACATCAGACATGATGAATGTGAGTAATGTTGATGAATCGTCTATACAGCATGAAGGGGGCAATTCTACCACTTGGCCTTCCTGACAATTCACATTGCAAACAAGTCAAATGATAACTGCAGTAAAGGTATATTAAACAATGTAATTACATACTGCTCCCGCTTTGCTGAAGTTGTGTTAACCCTTTCATTAACACACTCCTAAAAATCTTCTTTTAGCAACTATAATATTATAGATACGTAAATTCCTCATGGAGCCTATTATCATAACATTATTAGGAACTACATGGAATATCTAAAACCAACCACTTCAGCAGGTCTCAGCCAAGCCTCTTGCAAGAGATCTATAAAAGCTTTGGCAATGGTGGCTCGACCAGAAACCACAACATCATTTGTCAAATCATTCACCACTTCCTCAGGCAAAGATTCTTCCCAGCACTGAGCCATTACTGATAATGCTGCAAAACCTCGCTCAACCACCTATAACGAAAGCAGAATCAGTATCTTTACCGTTCATCATCAGGCTGTAAGTGATAGAAGAGAAAGCCACAGTAATGAAAGAGATAAAGCCAGAGAGTAGCCTTTAATCATCAAGTAAAATGAGTGTCAAGGGTTCTACAAGTAGAAGCAGGTGTTACAGCCATCTATATTAGCTGTATGAAATTATCATATATACTAATAAATAGTGGAAACCTGCAAATTGGTGAACACTTGTAGCAGATGAACTGGTAACTTTTCTTTTAGAAAAACATGGAACAAAAGTACCACCAACGTCAATGAAAGGCATGTCATGAGGATCATATCTTCCTTCTTAACATTGAAGCAATTGAAAAAGATATAGTTCAAACATAAGGTGCTTTTCTTTACTAAGGATTACGGATTTAAGAAGGATGTTGAATACCCAGTATGCAGAACCTGTATAGAGAATTGTGCTTACTTGGGGCCATGGCTCCGGACTAGGAGGAATATGCTTCAAAATATCTTCAGCCAGCAGTGAAATAATATGTGGGATATGTGAAGCAACAATGTCACCTCCAGCCTCCACCAAAGTTTTAAGAAGTTCAAACATAATGGAGGTCTCCTCACCATTGTCTCTTATTCTACCAACTACAACTTGAAGAATTGGTAACCACTCAGGTGGAAAGAAGTCATTCTGCAGAGAAAAAGGCAGAAAGGGAATCTTAATGTAAAGGGACCCCAGAATAATACAACTGCAAAATCAGAGTTAGATGCTTGCACACCCTACTAACCTCTACAAGTTGAGCAATTGCACCAGCAGCAGATACCCTTACAGGGTAGCATGAAAGATCCTCCATGTCTTGCATTGCCAGGGCTTTTAACAACGAGGAATAGATTTCAGAACTCATATCCTGAAAAGAACAAAGAAAAAAGAGCTCGTGAATATGTCCAAGAGATTTCACAATCTGCAGATATGCCCAATTAATAAAAATATATCAAAATAGGAAACTCTTTGAAAACCCTAGATACCACAGTTAAAGATATACATGACAAAAGACATATTTGAAACAATAAATAATATAATGGAACTACAAGAAAATACTCACTTCAGGAATACAGGAAACAAGCTCTCCAAGTATCCAGTTAGCAGAAGCAACCAAATAAGGATGACAAGATGCATTGTACAACGGTAGCACCCCAGATCGAATGAGCAAAGTTGTATATGCTGGTTTCTGCTCCCTCAGAAACTGAGAGTAAAATACTAATTATGAAATTTCAAGGCCATGGAAAAGGTGTGCATCACAAGGTTTTGGTGTCACAAAAGACGCCAAACATAACGCTTTTGTGTTTTGTGATGCCTGCCAGTTCTCTTAAGTAAAAATTCAACAGTTCTGACTGAGATATCCTTACATCTAGAAGGCTGCCATATGCCATCAAAACGCCATAATAACTGCCACAAATAAATAACCACAAAGTGAAAAACAATATAGAAAAGATGCACGGGAACCTTGGAAATTACCTTCTAAGAAAATAAAATTGAAGTACATTTATATTATACCCAACTTTATAACTACAAAACTGCTACAAATTTTAAATACTAGTAGTATGTGTGTGTACTACATACCTAGAGGTGCATACAATGTGCACCCATGCAGTGTTGACCGTATATCCCTTAATTATTAACCAAGATATCATAAAGATAAAAGAACAAGAAAGTTTTGTTTTCCCTTTTACCAAAAACCAAAGAAATTCACAATTCAAAAAATTAGAAACAAAGGCTAAGATAAATCTGAACCTAAGTTTATGATTGGAAAACATGAAAACAAGTACATACACAACAAGCTACTTTTTCTGACAATTTGAACTAGTATGCACACACCAATTAAATGTAATAGCGTGAACTTGGGCTTTAATGTGCATTTATCTTACGTATAAACAGATTTTTGTGTGTGTACATATATGTTGTAACACATGTGCTTTTGCTCTAGAATCACATACAATTTGGCCCTTCCCACACCTCTAGTATGTTGACGGGCTTCCCACGATCCTCTACATATATGCACAAACATATGCAAACAGCTCTACTGCAACATGTGACAAAATGTAATTGAAACAAGTAGGACATCACTATATTGAAATGGTGTCAAATGTTTAATACATCATGTTTTTTTTGTATAAAGTTAATACATTTTGATATGAATGATGTCCAATGATAAGATGCACAACTTCCTATGTAAGATCCCATTTATGCTATAGAATTAGTGAAGAACTTGTGAACGTACTCATTTGTAGTCTTCGTTACTGGTGTATTTACATCAGATGGAATAGGGAACTTAGACAAAAAAGGGAGCACCAACAACTCCCCCATAGAACTGCGACCTTTTTGTTTGTTCTTTTCACCTTTTTTACGCTTGGATGTCACTGAGGCCACAACAGGTGGGCCCTGCAAACATGATATAATGCAAGTCAAACATTAATAAAATGGAGTTTGAGCATACTGATAGAACTGACCTTTGATATTGAAATAACACCAAGTAAGTTTAATGCACTTTTTCTTGGAGTGAACAAGTCCTCTCTCCATCCTGAAATTTCTTCCTGCCAAACAAAAGCAACACTGTCAAAGATGTTTGAACCATCTACACAAATAACTTGTAAAAATAGAAGTATGTACCAATTCAGAAGGAAGATTCTTTCTTATGTACTCATCTGAATCTTCTTCCCACTCTGTAATATCCTACTCGCAAATGTTCCCAAAAGAAAAAAAAGAGAATTATTTCAGTGTAGACATTGTTGTTACTTAAAATTAATATTTTGATTCAAAAACATAGTCCCAAGAAGGTCATTAAAAATAGACAACTGTGTCTCAGATTCAAAGCAATGGCCGACGCATTTAGGATATGAATATCAAAGTGAGATATCAAACCTTTTCATTCATTACTATTGCTGGAAAAATTGCAGATTCTAGTAAAGATGAAAAGTGTGGCGAAACAAGTCTCCATCCCTGATTACAGATGGTGTGGTATATATCAGAAAATAGATAATGAGCAATGAAACTAACTGGCTGATTTATTTAATAAAACTCACTGGGCCCGTTTCTAGAAGTCGAGATATGACATCAAAAGCTAATGACACAATCCTCTCTGCCAGAGTATCCAACTTCTGTATAGGGCACATATCAAATCAATACGCTACCGTATTCAAGACTAAGGATGAAGTTGGAAGTAAATAAAGCATTAGAAAGTCAAACAACTTGAGAAAGGCTAAGATATAATAGAGCATGATAATCAGGAATATGACTGCATGGGGCGTTATCATAACAGACAATAACATATCCAACATTGCAAAAATGCGGCTATAACGAAATAACTAATTTTAGATAGCTATGTTATTTTTGGCACTTGTATGTAAGAAACAAGTGAAGATATTTACATAAATGCATGTCTGCTTCAGAAAACTGAAGTTTGCTGTCACCTAGTAAAAACAGAACCATGTTTTACATAATTAAGAAGAACGTACACTGAAGTCTGTTTTAAGGTTGACTAATTTGACAACTGAATTTATGATGTCCGGCATGAGTCTGTTAAAAAGAGATGGAAAAAAATTAGTGATAGACACATGGAACAGCTTATCAAAATTAATCCATGTTAATGCATTACTTATCCGAGAACTTCCTATGTCGGGTGATAAGGGCACAGAAAATGAGCAAACTTCTCTTCCCAGTCTTCAACCTCAGCATGTATCCATCTTCAAAAGAACCATAATCTTGAAATCTTAGCGAGTGAAGGATGCGAATTAAATCACGACATAGAGAAGGAAGCAGAGAGACCAAAGCAGATGGCATATGTGATCTCACCTACAAAACAGACTGTCATAAATACTCCCAACAGAGATATCAATAGATAAAAGATGCATGATATAGAATGAAGGGGGGAATTCATATAACATTCTGCTAGTGTTACTGAATTGGCATATAAGAAACCAACCAAACCAAAGGTAGAAGGTAGACGTGTGATAAGACTACAAAAGAATATGAGAAATATTGCAGTTTATTTCAAGCTGAACAAGACAGGATAAATATTATGTTAATCAAGCATACAGTGGTGGTTTGATCTCAAACAAGATCATTACCTTGATATAACAAGTTTATTATGGTCATATGGAATTAATGCACAAAGATCGACATCTGCAGCATTTATTCCTATGAGAAAATGCATGCACTTGCACATAACAACAAGGCTCTTCTCAGCAACAATATTTGTTTAGTTTTAAATATAGTTATGGCAACATTTATGATTTATGAAATGTAGCAATTGAAGGCAACAGAACTTGTTTTGTCACAGTAATCTGATATTTTATGGTTGGGACTTGCAACAAGACACAAGTATCATCTCCAAGAACATTTATACTTACAGCATAATAGATGCACTTGCTCATAATCAGAAGGCTCTTCTCAGCGTCCATTTCAACTATATTTTGAATACACAGATCCTCAACACGTTGATGAAATACAGTAATTAAAGGTACTAGAATTTCTTGTGCAATTAGCTCCAGCTGTGATGGAACTGGCTCCTTTGCCACTTTCGGATTCAAAAAGTACTGTCAGAAAGAACAGCAATTAGACTGTTAGAGCTAGCCCCAGCAAGACCTGCTAAAAAGATCTCAACTCCAGCGACGGTTTCATTAGATATCTTACAACTAGAATCCGTCTTTTTTCCGATCCAGTCCTATATGCCACTCACTATCTCCTTGTCTATACATTCATTTTCACAACATGGTAATAGATGTCAGTAGGCACAGTTACGTCTCATCTAATGAAGAATATTTCACTGCTGCCAGGTTCATGATCATTAAGAAACTCTTTCACCACTATTTTCCAAAGAACATGCTAGCATGCTCCCTAATAGAATACAGCAAGGTTAAAAAACTTGAAATACTGATAATCACTGTTAACACTTTTTCAAGATCACCTGGAATGGTCTGATCACTGACTGGAGAACTGTAAGGCCATTGATGGCCTTCCATCTAGAATTCCCACTTTTATTAACCAGGTCACTATCTTGAATAACTGATCTCAGCTCAGGTACCAGTTCATGCCACATATTATGCTTCACAAATTCAGCATCAACAATAGGACGGAACTGCACCAGCATGTGTCAACTGTCAACAACTGACAGAGTGAAAAAATTATCATAAGAGGCTACCAGCAAATACACATACCGCTTCAATCAACACTTTCAAGATCGCAGGTTCTGCTTGAAGCAAAGCACGTACAAGCACATCTCTAAACTCCTTGCTGGCTCTTGAAGCTGCCCCACCATCAATCGTGTTCCGTCTTGTCAAGTTCTTTAGATATGTTGCCGCAGCAATACTTTGACCATGATTCTCCCCTCCTGTAATTTTTATCAAATTCAGTTCCCAGTCCCAGTTTTTCATACTGATTACTGTAATTACATACAATTATTAACTGGGCAACTTTCTACTAAAAAAACCCATATATGATCTAATTCATAATTCCATTGAAGTTATAAATTCAAATCCAGTGAAACCTACTTGTATTTAGATTAACAAAATCCCAAACATTTCACTTTTTCCTATTCCAAAAGTGTTTAAGCTTTTACTCCAAAGAACGGGAAGGTTACTTTTCAAATTCCAAGTTTGTCTGCACTTTAATATTTTTCAAAAACAATTGATAACCACAATAAAAACCATAACAAGTATATAAAGTTCAAGTCTACATTTTGGAAATACAAGAAATAATCAGAAAGCAGCTTTTTCTTGAATTGATGAAATACAATTTAGAGATTTGTCTTCCATATACAAAACTAAAATTACCTACGGCTTATAAAAATTGCGGGAAAATCAGATTAATTGAACTCTAATAACAGCATCAACTTCTGTAAAAACTGTTCCTATTAATCTACGAAAACAATCTGAATACAGGTTGATAAAAAACCGGCTTTCTTTGTATATTTTCCACTTCTTAACATAATAAATTTACCATAATTACACACTATAAGCTAACAACTGCAAGTTATAAGTAGCTAAATAAACATTTTAGCTTGTATATACAGCTCAATCACAGTAAAGCTACTCAATCAAAGCAATACGATAACAGATTGAGAAAATTCTCACCGACGGCGATGGAGATTAGAGCAAAGGAAAAATCGGGGTTCAAAGAGAGGCAGTCGAGGGCCTCGGTGGCAGAACGGCGAACTTCACCATCTGGGCTGAGAGTGCTGTCGAGAAGCTGGGCTACACGGGAAGTTGATTCCATGTTGCTTGAATCGATGGGATGACGGTACGACGGAACCCTAGCTCAGGCTATTGTGTGCTTTCAGTTCTCAAAAATTGGGGAAAAGGGTGGCGCCAAAAAAGCGTAGAATGGCGGGAACCTTTTACTTTGTATTGTATTATCGGTCAATGATCAATGAATAAAACCTTTGGCAAGTGATACGAGAAATAAAAGTTTTTTAATTATTTATTAATAATTATAATTGAAAAAAAAATGACAATAAACTATCAAAACGCTACTTTAAGTAAAAGCTGTTTTTTCATTATTTTTTATATTTCCAAAATGTAGCGTTTTAATAAACTAACTTATGTGTTGATAGTTATAATTGGAAATAACTTCTGAGTGATAATTCGATACAAATTCGAAGAGAGGAATATGTACGATTGAAAGCTTTCCGAGCATTAACTAGAATTAGATGTTCAAATTGTGAATATATAATATTGGATATGACTTAGATATCATTTATGGTCACTAATATTTATCTATAGTAAGAATAGAACAAACTAATTTTAACCGCTGGTTAGCACATGAATTACGAAGGAATGTCAGATTAATTGTCGTATCTTATGGATTAGGAAAATTCATAGATGGTTACATTGCATAAAGGAAGACGTGGGTACCATGTGTGAATCCCTCCCACCCGATGGACATGAACGTAAAACACATATCAAAGTCGCATAACACCACTCCAACGAACTGCTAGGGCATTTGATGTACTCTTGAAACTAAATTGTAGCACAACAGTGCTAAACAATCATAAATATGCAAAGAAAACAAGTTATGGCTTATCACCCTAAACAAATGCATAAATTACCTTGCCAACTACATGACCATGACCTTACTTTCGACTTCCATCACAAAGATTCTTAAATCCGCCACTGTAGTCTAGTAACATAGTGGTAATCCAAACTAACGATTATGTATGCCCATTTTCCTTTGTTGATTTATGCCCTAACAGTTCATGAGATGCATATTATATCAGTTTTAGGTAAATGAGTTCATGGTTTTATATTTAAATAATGCACAAGCATGTATCATTTTTCAAATAAATATGGTATATGAGATATTTTGTAGAGTTTATGAACATAAAACATGTACTAGTAATAAGTATCAAAATCAATTGAAATTTGTATTGAAAATTGAACTGAAAACGAACTAAAAACTGTTATCAATATCATATTGAACAATTTGCATATATGCAATGAAAATTTGAATACTAAACATTTGAGATCTCGTTACATAATATTTTGAGGTTCTTCTTTCAAATCTGAAGCTATTGAGTACTTTAATCGAAGTATGTATGTTGATATCTAAACATACCAAGTAAAGAGGTACCCTGGCTATACATGCGTCAGTTCTATCTATCTTTGTGATGTCCCAGTCTGTCACTACCAAAGTATATGACTCCATAAGGAAGATATCAATAAATAGCTAAGTCAGATGTTACTATAACCCAATAATTGTCACTATCTCTAATTACGAAAGATATCAACAAATAGCTAAGTCATTCTCGTGCATCTATCTAGCATTCATCTCATCACGGTGTCACTAGTACCATTTCCCACGAACCTGATGCACATGCCGACAAAGAAGTTGTTAGGATTAATGCCTAGTGAGCTCAAACAGTTTTCATCATAATCATAAAACGGTAAAACTAAAAGACTGCTGATTTAAATCGTAATTTCATAAATGAAATGTCTTTATCATAAAACAACATCCTTATGAAATGTACCATTTCCCTGATGAAAATCTATTAACCAAAACACCCATTTAAATGCAACCAAAATCCAATACTCAGACAACTAAGAATAGAGCCATAAAACGTTAAAAAGGAAAATGTAGCTTTAATCAAGTCACTTTGTATAATTAGATCATATTTATCCTTGGAATGGTGTAAGACATCATAAGATGATGGGAGAGACCCAATTTGCCATTGGTTGTGATGGAACATAAAAGTAAGCCACAATTCAATGTTATATAAGCATCAACTACAGATAAACAAACATCGACATCAACCTTATCCGGGTCTTTAGTCAAATGGGTTAACAAGTTCAACTTTATTCAAGTCTTTTGCTTGGTGATTCACCAAGTTCAACTCTATCCAAGTTTTTACCTTGGGATCTTCCAAATCCACGTTAAGCTAATTCACTAGAAATGACAGTCATTATGGACTACACAGTCATCAAGTTCAACTCTATCCAAGTCTTTACCTTGACACCCTCACTATAGATCATACGGTCATCGAGTTCAACTCTATCAAAGTTTTACCTCGAGTCCTTCGCTGATCCTGATCCGAGTCTCTAGCTACAATCTAGGGAATACTATCACATTCCAATAGACTCCTATGCATATGGATCCATTGCATTACAGTCTAAATTACATTCAACTGAATGACCAATGTACTCAAAGCATGTAATTCTCAATAAATATGTCATAACTGCATATAAAATCCAAAAGCTTAACATAGAGCAAAACAAACCGAACAAATGTCACCAAGACTCATATGAGTCAAACTGAGCCAAATGCTCAACAATACATTTGACTATTCAAGAAAAGTCATCAATAAAATGTATTTAACTAAAGTTTATGCATATACATGCTTCAAAGGCATGATTAACTCAAAAGCACATCATTAGTTGGGACAAATCATTTTCCAATTAAACCATACCATTTATATTCCCAAAATGTCTTGTAACACAATAACATGCATTTTCCAAACGGTTTATAAAACCAAACACACTAAAATACATTAATATCAAAAATATCCATTTGTAGAATAAATTTCCAAAAAAGCACATTCTTGAGATTTATTCACCAAAACGTCCAAAAACCCAAACATAGGCATTTTACAAGATTTATTAACCCAAATTTACCAAATATGCAAACTTCGTCAAGTACTCAACACATTTGATAAATATCAAGTAAAGCATATTTATACTTCAAAATACTGATTTTGGCATGTACATATTTTTCACTAAGCAATTTGAATTCACTTTGCTAGATTTAGGCTAAATCTAGGTTTTACCCCAAACTTGAGCTTCCTTGGCGAAAAGCTTAGATCTCCAAGCTAAACTTCTAGATCTATGGTGTATATATTCTCAAGAACACTTCTTTTACTCCCAAAACATACACAAACAAACCCAAGAGAAGAAATGAGGGTTGAGGTAAAAAGAACCAAACCCTAAATTCAAATGACCAAAGATGTGATCTTACCTTCAACTTCTATGAACTCCAAAGTGATCAAATAACCTTGAATTATCTTTGTTTCCATCTTGAAAAGATTTAAAAGATAAAACCCTAGCAAAAAGAATCGCTCAAATCAAGTAAGAAATGAGAGAGTTATGGATAAAATGAGAAAAATCCCGATTTTTAGTATTTTTATGCAAGTCAGGCCTCCATGCTAGTTAAACTAGCGTTGAAATTAGTCTAAGTATTTTAGTGTTTGGATCTAGTTTCACCACTAGTTAAACTAGCGCGAGCCCAAAAGTCAACCTAAAGTGGCTTCTCGAGCGACCAAACTTTCATGGAATTCTCTTAATGCCCAGATGATTTTTAACACAACTTTTATTCATCCTAACACAACCAAGGCTCTTGATTCAAATGCCACAAACATTCAATAATGGTTGATCACCGAATGGCTAGCTAAAATGAATCTACACCCCTAAAAGTTACAGGTCTAACGACTAAAGTTTAAGGGCCTATTTGCTAGCAACTTAATAGGCTTAATGGGACGAACAACTTATTCCCTCAACTAAGCATGATTGTTTCGTATAGTGGCTTAATGATATAGAAAGTGACTTATCCAATAAGTTTTTAGGCGGAGCTTTATGTAGAATGTCAAGTTTTCTTTTCTAAACATGTCCCTCCCAACTAAAAAACGCTCTTTACATCTATGAAAAAACTTTCTCAAACAAAAACTTTTTCAACTTATACAAACAGATTAATCCATACAGACAACTTTATCCATATAAAACTTAATAAAAAATCAATCAAACGGCCCCTAAATCTAATGCGGTAATGCCAAACCTCAAAGTAAACAAAAGTAAAAAAAACAATGTTAAATTGTAAAATTCATAATCTATTTTACTGTGCATTGTAAAGAACAAGTGCCTAATAATTAAGACAATATCACAATATGTTGTTAATGTTGTGCAGCGTGCTCCAGTTGTGTTGATAAAGTGATGTGCTCATGTGCATTGCAAATTTCAATTCTCAGATATTTCAATATGCAAGAAGAAGACTCATTATCAAAATGACAAAAGCCTCTTAGCCTTAGCCTAGTAGGTCAATAACCCACACGACCACACATGATACAACTTTATGATAATCAGTTAGAAATTTAGATTTTTGGAAAAAGATTTAAAGATTCATAAAATCATTATATGACTCACACAGAAATTCAATAAGTACAATCAACAGTAGAAATCAGTCATTTAAAATTTTTCATCTTTGATTTTTTTAATCTAATTTCATGACCGTTAATTAGCTGGAAACAAAACTCAATGCCTTGAAAATCGAAATAGTTGAACTTTAAAGAACAATAGAAATTAGATTGCGTTGTTGGAATGATGACATTAACCGATTCACGATGTGCATTCAATATCCATCACTACTAGGCATTGGGCCTGTTTTTATAGTTAAAGCTGAATTGTCCAATTCCCAAATTATTAAACCCAAAACTAGTAATGGATGACAACTTGATGCCCTTTTAGAATTTGATGCCCTGCGCAGCCGCACGGGCTGCACGTGGCCTGGTAAATATTATATACTTCAAAAAAATTGAGTTTATAGGACATCACCAATTTTAAAGTGTCATAATAGATTGTTCTATAAACTCAATTTATAGAACTAAAAAAAATAAAGGGTCCTATCTAAAAGCATTGTAATAAGTTTATAGGACGCTTTTAAGCGTTTTAACAAGTTTTTCATGACATTTTTAATACAAAGCGTCGGATTAGCTATTTTATAGGAGACTATTCGAAAAAATGTCATGTCATATAAAAAGATGAGTTTATAAAATATGTCGCTTTATATTGAAAATGTCCTAAAAAAACTTATTAAAATCCCTTATAAAAACGTCCTATAAATTTATTATAACGTCTTTAGATATAACTTTTTATTTTTTATTTTTATTATGAAATGATCTATTAAAACGATTTAAAATCGATATCATCATGTAAACTCAATTTTGTTAATAAGATATAGTGGACGGAAGTAAATACTATATAATCCAAATGGGTTGAAAAATCTATGAAACCAAAATGTTGGGAAACATATTCGTGTCATATATTATATCTTTGACCTTTTGGGTTCCATGCAATAAAAAAAGGTGGTGGTGCCATGCATCACAGTAACGAAGAAGTGGCATCTCATTCAGCTGCCACGTTTCCATTAAGACGCCACGTCTCCCACCTCAACCACCCTGTCCCTATATATCATCTCTTCATACTTCCACTTTCCTTTCATACTTCTATCTGTGATTAAGAAGCCAACATGCCTGGCCTCACCATTGGAGACTCCCTTCCAAACCTTCAAGTCGATACCACTCATGGAGCCATTAAGCTCCATGATTATGTTGCTGATTCCTTCACCATCATCTTCTCTCACCCTGGTTCGTCTTTTAGGTTCAGATTTTTTTTACCATTATCTTGCTGTTTAACTGTAAAACTATCCCGAATCTCAGGAAAACAGGTTTGTATCACGTGAATCAAACCCTATATATGGATAAGATTGTTGATTATGCGATTTTGGTTGCAGGTGATTTCACCCCGGTTTGCACGACGGAGCTTGGCGCGATGGCTGCATATGCCCACAAGTTTAAGGAAAGGGGCGTGAAGCTGTTGGGGTTATCTTGTGATGATGTTCAGTCCCACAAGGAATGGATCAAAGACATCGAAGCCTATAACGTATATTAATTAATTAAGTTATCAGTAGGTGATCTGGATTAATAAGTTGATGATGATTAGAATCGTGATTCATGTTGGTTGTTGATTTGTTTAGAATGGGAAGAAGGTGACGTACCCAATCGCTGCTGACCCAACAAGGGAGATCATCAAGCAGCTTAACATGGTGGATCCAGATGAAAGAGACTCTTCTGGAGACATCGTCCCATCTCGTGCCTTGCACATTGTTGGACCAGACAAGAAGGTTAATTAAGTTTTGATCTACACATACGTTGTGTATATATATATATATACACACACATGCATATATATAGGGTTGAGTTCACGTGAGACTCATAAAATCAATTTATGTTCATTGATCAATTTTATAAGATAATGATCCAATGGTTAAATTTAGCATTAAACTTTAAACTTGTAGGGGTATTTTTGACCTATATGTTTTTTTCTTTCTTTGACCTATATATAGATCTAATCCAAGGGTTGAGAATTGGTTTTACGGGTCTCATAAAAAACCATTGGTCTCACATGATCCCAATTTCAAGTCCATGTATACATATATATATATATATATGCATATATATATATATATATAAAGTTAACCAAAAACTTTGGTTAACATTTGATCTTGACCCTATATATATATATATATATATATATATATATATATATATATATACATACACACACATGGTTGGGTTTATGCGAGACCAAGGGGGTTTTTGTGAGACCCATAATACCAATTTATGTTCATTGATCATCTTTATAAATTAATGATCTAAAGTTGTACGATGACAATTTTATGATTATTGAGAAGTCTCGTGACAATTTTATGATTATGAATGTTTAAATTGTAGATTTAATTCAAGGATTGAGAATTGGCTTTACAGGTCTCATGAAAAATCATTGGTCTCGTATGATCCCAAATCTATATATATATATATATATATATATATAGATTATTTTGAGAATTGGTAAATTTATATAAAGTTACAAATATTTGAGAAGTAGAAGAAGTGGTTATAACCCTTATGGTAAAAAAGAGTTTTGATTGGTAAATAATTATAATGACTATCGAACTTGCGGCTATGTGAAAAAATAGAGGTGTATTTTTTCAATTTTTACAAGTAGAAGGTAAACACATGTGATTCATACATGAACAACTATTCTAAGGGGTTTACCATCAATCCCAGGTTTACATGTGAACTAATTAATTAATTAATGGATTCACTTAAGAATCCATTGGTTTACATGTAACTAATTAACGGGTTCAAGTATATATGAACGTGAATTACAGTTTACAAAACTATGTCTCCATCTCCCATTTCTCGCATAAGCATGGGAGGAATTTTGGTGCTCCACAGTGAAAACCGTAAATACTTATTTACTTCTCATGTACTTGCTATTTCTTAAATGAACTTTTCCATGTGTATATATATTTATGGTACTTGCCATTTACCTTTTCATATATATATATATATATATATGCTACGGAATTGTTGTAATTAATTGGCTTATGGATGGTGATCATATATATATATATATATATATATATATATATATATATGGTTGTGTTTATGTGAGAATAAGGGTTTTTCGTGAGACGTGTAAGACCAATTTATGTTCATCAACTTTATAAGTTAATGATCTAATGGTTTAAAGTTGTACGGTGGCAATTTTGTGATTATTGAAAAGTTTTGTGATAATTTGTGATTATAAACGTTCAGATTGTAGATCTAATTCAAGGATTGAGAATTGTTCTCTCGGAAAACCTTTGGTCTCAAATAATCTAAAGTCTATATATATATGCTACTGAATTGTTGTAATTATGGATGGTGATGATGTATTAGATCAAGTTGAGCTTTCTGTATCCGGCAAGCACCGGGAGGAACCTGGATGAGGTGATCAGAGTGGTGGACTCATTGCTGAAGGCTTCGAAGCACAAAATAGCGACACCAGCAAACTGGAAGGACGGTGAAGAGGTGGTGATCGCTCCGAGTGTTTCTAACGATGAAGCTCGAAAGCTGTTCCCCGGTGGTTTCAAGACAGCTGATCTTCCATCCAAGAAGGATTATATACGTTTTACTCATGTTTAGTAGCTTAATATATATATGTATGTATGCAGCTATTACATATATAAATGACCATCTGATGTTGGTCGGGAGTGTCTGTGTCTTTACTGTGTTAAAGAATGAGTATACATGAATGAAGATGAATAATAAAATATCAATGGAAGAACTCATGCAGTGGTGTTTGGGATCGTTTATTTAAAATAAATGATCTTTTATAACAAAAGAGCTTATCTATATCTATATATATATTTATAGTATCTTATTTTAACCAAAGTCTTAAAGTCTTAAAATATTAAATGTCCAAGATATTATTTATACTACCTTTATATCATTTTTTTACCCCCTCCTTTTTTCATATACACTCACAACCTATTTTTTTATCTATACTATCTTATTAAGCAAATTTAGCAAAAGTCTTAAAGACTTAAAATACTAAATGACCAAGATACTCTTTATATTATATTTATATCACTTTTTCATCCCCTCCTCTTCTCACATACACTCACAACCCATTTTTTTAAAATTATAATTTTAAATTTATATTTTTTAACCCTATAATTAGTTAATTAATTTACGTCCTTTACTTTTAAATATTTCATTTTAAACATTTATCAAATTAACATACATAATCGTATATCAATTAAAACATGTT